CAGCCCTCCCAGAGTTCACAGTCCCTGCGGGGCTGGGGACACCTCTGGAGCCCTTGGATTTAGAGGGGGGTGAGTGACTCACTGGTCAGCCTGTAGTGGCCAGGTTCTGGTCCTGTCCCAGAACTGGCCTCGTATGGACAAACCGGCCTCTTGGCTCATCTGGTGAGAGGTGTGTTTCAGTCTGTTTTCTGTTATCACTGGGGGGCAAATTAGGTTTTGCAATTCAACGGCCAGGTCACGTTAATGATTAATTTGCGTGGCCTGTGCTCCCAGGGAAGGCCTAGCAGAGAAGTGTCAGGACACAGGCCTGCATGTGGATACAGAACCCGAAGCTCGGTCCTTCCCTGCGCCTGTGGCCTTGGGGAGACATTTGACCTTCAAGCCTCAGTGGCTACATCTGTGAAATGGGCCTTTGAGAATTGAATGAGGTGAAGGAGGCATACAAGTGTTTTCTTCGCTATATAGATGGTTGCTACGATTCTCCGGCTCCCTGATTTCCCCTGTGCAAAGAATGAACTGGGATCCTAATTAGATCAAAGCAGGCTCATTGTAGGTAGTTCCCAAAGGCTTCATGGAGGAGATGGCACCTGGTGAGTCGGGAGGCAGGCGTAGAGAGGTGTGTGTGGGAGGCAGTGAGAAGGTGACCCTCCCAGAGTGGGCGCGTGTTGGAGAACATGAGACATTTGGGTCGGGGAACTGAGGTGAGGCCTTGAATGTCAAGGACAGGAGTTCATAGCTGAAGGTGGGCGGGAACCCAGTGATAATTACAGCGGCTTCACATTAAGCACCTACTGTGTGCACTTGCTGTGCCCTGTCTCTAAATCTCATCCCTGGCCCTGCCAAGTCGTGGCTATTACTATTCCCATTTTCTAGATGAGGAAACTCAGGCACCGAGCTGGGAGCCTCTAGCTGGAGGCCACACAGCTAGGAAGTGATGGAAGTGGGGTCCAGTCAGGCCTGTCCACACCAGTGCCGACCATAGAAACTTGTGTGCAGACCTCAAATGTGAGCCTGTGTGATTTGAAAGTTTCTGGTAGCCACCTGTTAAAAAAAGGAGTAAGAAACAGGTGAGATGAGTGGTATCCCCTTTTTCACCCAGCACATTCAAAACACGCGATCCTCTCAGCATGGGATCAGTATAAAATTTCTGGGTAACCAAGGGTGTCCCACTCTGAGAATTCCTACACTGGGCTTCTTTAAACAGAGAAACTGACACATGTGTGTTGAATAAGTGAAAAATAAGAGCGATTCCACTACTGAAAATGGCACATGCATCTAGAGTAGCGAAAGTATGATATTTAACAAAAAAAATTTTTTTTCTTAACATGTCAGTCACTTCTGGAGATGGTAACCTCTCCTCCAGCCTCAGCTGGAGCGTTACCTCAGAGAGGCCTTCCTAGGCTGCCCCCTCTGACATAATGGCCAGCCGTGTCACTCCTGGTTTTAGGTTTTTCCTTGGGCCTCTCTCCTGCCTGCATTGGGAAGCGCAGGGCTGCACCCCTATCCTACCCCCCACACCCTCTGGGCCTCGACTTGGAAAGGAGATGGGGCTGGCAGAGGGGCTTATTGTGACCACCCTCAGATGGGAGGGTGGCCTGAGCCGTGGCAGCTCGCCGAGCCAGAAAATTCTACTGAAGTTGTAATTTTTTAGGAGTTACCTACTTGGAAAAGTAGGCAAATAGCTAAGAATAAGTGTATATGAAATTTTCATTTTTTCCCATCACACGTTCACTGAGCTGCTGCCTGGGCCTAAGCTGGGCCCCAAACGGGCCGTACTCTCTGTGTATTTTTTATTTTTTAAAATTTACTCTTAAATGGGAGCTATTGAGACCCACATAGAGGAGTAAGCAGCATAAGCACTCTCTAGATGGCTTCCCTGCCGTCTGTTTCAGAGCTCGCGTTCCTGCTTCACTTGGCAAATATTTGCTGGAGGCCTGCTGGGCACCAGGCACTGTTTTAGGCCCTGGAGATATACCAGCGAACGCAGCAGATGAGGGTTCTGATCTTGTGGTTTTACGGTCTAGCCAGGGACACCGATGAAGAATAGACATAATTAATTCCAGTGGGTGCTACAAGGCGACAAGGACCATGGGGCAAAACAGCCGGTGAAGGGAGTTCAGGAATCTGGGGGTGGATACGGTGGTCCTTCCTGAGACTGGGACCATGTGAGCAAAGATTGGAAGGGGTGAGAGATTTGACCATGTGGTTACCTCTGGAAGAACACTGAAGGCAGAGATAACAGCCAGTGCAAAGGCCCTGGGGCAGGAGTGTGCCTGCATATGCAAGGGACAGCAAGGGGGCCTGCGTGGCTGGGCTGAGTGACAGGGACAATGACAGGACGTGGGGCCTTGAGAGAGCAGATGGAGGGGCTTGCAGGCCAACATTGAGACGGCAGTTTTTATTTATGCTCCTTTTCAAGGAATCAAATGTTACACATTATTTTGTGTGTTTGAAAAATTCACGTAAAGAGGTCAATATTGACCGCACCTTTCCTCAGCTTACCTTTTTTTCACTCAAGATTCCATCTTTGAGACTCATCCCTGCAGATGTGGTCCGTTCATTTCCCCTCTGTGGTTTGTGTGGAAGCCCAGTTTTCTTTGCTGAGGGCCTGCTGGATTGTCTTTTTTTTTTTTGAAATTCGACATTTCTTTTGCAGCCCTCCTGCACTCATGGGGGGAGTCCTCTAGGGCAGAACTATCTAACTGGGGTGTGACCCAGTAGGAGGTTGCGAAATGATTGGGGTGAGTGGGGACCCGCATTTTAAAAACAGATGGAACAGGACAGGATATCAGAGTAGGAAATAACCTAGTTAGAGTATAAGAGACGTGCCAGGAATGTGAATATCCTTTTTGAATCCGGGTGTATGTGTTGTGGTCCTAGGGGTGGCAGGCGGCATCTGAAAGCCAGCATTCGTGCCCTGTGCCGAGCAGGGGACCACGGATGGAGTCCTCAGGGCTGTGCTCAGCTCAGATGCTCCTCCTGGTTAGGACACGCCCCCACCGCTCCCCGGGTGATGACCCACCTGCAAACCACCATGTCCAAGTCCGTTTCCCCACATCTCCGTCGGCAGTTGATTTTCTCAGGTGACTTAATTTGTGTCCCTCTTTTGGGAACTAGTTTGTTTTAATTTGCGGTTAAATCTTTTTGTAAAAAATTGTGGTAAGAGTCACTTACCATAAAACTCTCTGTTTAAACCATTTAAAAGGGTACACATAGTGGCATTTAGTACCTTGACAATGATGTGCAACCATTACCGTTACTTATTACAGTTCTAGAACAGGGGTCGGCAAACTTTTCGGTCATAGTTTCATTTATAAAATTTTTTAAAAGATATTCACATAATGGGTGATTATGTAAAAATATATTTATGGCTCTCGAATAATTTTTAAATTGTTGTGAGGGACAGGATTGGCTCTTCCAGGGGTCGGCAAACTTTTGAGACAGAACGTACCCAAAGAGCCGCGCGTGGCTCGCGAGCCGCAGTTTGCCGACCCCTGTTCTAGAGTATATTCATCACCCCAAAAGGAAGCCCTGTCCCCGTTAATCAGTCATTCTCCATTCTTCCCTGGCCACCGCCAGCCTGCGTTCTGTCTCTATGGATTTGCCTGTTCTGGATACCTCTCGTAAACAGAGTCCCACACTAGGTGTCCTCCCGTATCTGGCTTATGTCACCCAGTGTAATGTCTTCCAGGTTCGTCTGTGCTGTAGCCGGTGTCAGCACTTCATTCCTTTTTAAGGCTGAATAATATTCCATTGGGTGTATAGACCACATTTGGACTCATCCATTCATCCATCAACGGCCATGTGGGTGGCCTCCAACTTTTGGCCACTGTGAATAATGAATGCTGCAGTGCTGCAGTGAATACAGGCATGCTTTTCTTCCTTTCCTTTTGTTTTAAAACGAGCTCCAAGTCAAGTCGTTGTTTCAATCTAGCTGTGGAGGGTGCAGCTCAGTGGCCCATGTGGGAATCGAACCAGCAACCCTGGTGTTATAAGCACTGCACTCTGCGCTCTACCTACCTGAGCCGACCGGCCGTCCCTGTAGGTGCTTTTCTAACAGGTGTGATGGAAACGTTCCATGTCCTGATGTTGGTGGGGTTGTATACATTTGATAAAACTACACTTGCAGTGGATGGATGTTACGGACCTTGAAAACATCATGCTCAGTGAAAGACGCTCTCCGTGGCCTTTTATATCCCTGCTTGCTTTTGAGAAAGAGCGTATTACGGACACATTTGAAGACTCGGATGATGCTGTGTGTCTGAGAAGCAAGTCCTTGGAGACAGAAAGTAGATGAGTGGCTGCCAGGGGCTGGAGGCAGACGAGTGGCTGCTACTGTAATGAAAATATTCTGGAAGTGGATAATGGTGATGGTTGCACAACCATCTGTACACTTTAAGTGGATGAATTGTATGATGTATGAATCATATCTCAATTAAACTGTCAGAAATGTCAGCATCGTGTCTTCAAGGTACATCCATAACATTTATCCTTTTTAAGCGTGCAGTTTGATGAGTTTTGTCAGATGTTTACAGCTCACCTGCATGGCAACCGAAATCAAGATACGAGCCATTTTAATCACCCCCACTGGTTTCCTGATGCCCTTGTGCAGGCAGTGCCCGCTCTCCGCCCCCAGCCCCTGGCAACCACTGATCGGGTGTCGGTCCCTACGATTTTCCTCTTTCCAGAATGTTGTCCAGATGAAATCATATCGTGTGTAGTTGTTGTCTCTGGCTTTTTTTCTACTTAACATTCGCTTTTGAGGCTCACCAGGTCGTGGCATTTACCAGTAGTTGGCTCCTTTTTATTACCGAGTAGTGTTCCATTTTGGGGTACGTGGCAGTTTATCTGTTGATGAGCATTCTTTTTAAAAACATGTTTTATTATTGGCGTGTTTGTTTAGGTAACACTCCTAAAGGCTTCCTTCCTGGCCTTTGCACAAGCTGTGTTCCCGGCCCAGAACTGCCTCCCCCCAATCTTCTTTTCCTGGAAAAGCCCAGCTCACAAGGCCCCCATGTTAGGCAGCCCCTGACTGTTCAGGAATGGGTTGGGTAAGAGGGAGTGGTGTCCACGAGGGATCGCCTTGTGCCTCTCTCTCAGTCTTTGTGTTCTGGGCCGTGATCTTTGACCTTGGGGGAGGCAGCAGGGATTGAATCTTTGACCTTGGGGGAGGGGGCTGGGATGGAATCAGCTACTTAGGCAAAAGGCTGCGATCTTGGCCAGCGTACTGTTATCTAATCAGCTGCCTGGTCCAGATGCTTCTTGTTCTTGTGCGACAGAAAGAAAGCTGTCCTGCAAATCAGGAGCAGTACAAAGTCCGGCCCTCACCTGAGGTGGGCGTGGGGCAGCCACAGGGCAGGAGGGTCGTTCGCTTCATGCCAGGTGACTGTTCACGTCGGCCCGGATGCCCTGGGTTCTGCCAGGCCCTGCTCTAAGCACTGTACCTCTGTGAGCTTGTTGGAGCCTCACGCCAGCCCTGTGAGGTGGATGCTATCATTACACCCGTTTTATGGATGAGAAAACTGAGGTGCAGAGAGGATCAGTGACTTGTCCATTGTCAGTCACCCAGCCGGAAGGCAGTGCTGGGCCACCAAGTGTTCCCAGTGGATGAGAGCCCATGGAATGGGTTGAACCCCAGAGCCCCCAGTTCCATTCTGTTGGAGAGAGAGAGAGAGAGAGAGAGAGAGAGAGAGAGACAGAGAGAGAGAGAGAGACAGAGAGAGACATGAGACATGAGGCTTTATCTGGTGACTCACTAGTTTGCCCGATTTATCCCCAAAGCAAGGTGATCGGGCCAGAGGGTGAGGACGGGTTTCTGGGATTCCAGAGGCATCTCCAGCCCCAGATGCCTTTGCCAAGAAACAGGGCCAGGGGAGGGAAGCCGGAACTGGAAACTTTTTTTTTTTTTAAACCATTTTATTGAGGTGTGATTGACATTCAAAAAGCTGCACGTATGTAATGTATAAACTCGATGAGTTTGGGGAGAAGCGAACACCTGTGACCCCATTGCCGCAGTCTAGGCGTGAACACATCCTGCACCTCCAGCTTTCTCCCTCTGATTAATGAGTGCTGTCACTGTTACTGTTTCAGCTGTGCAAGGTGAGTGAGTCCTAGCGAGCTCCCGCGCACCGTGGGGGCCCTTGGTTGACAATACTCAAATTTATCTGCTGAGAGGGTAGAGCTTACGAGTTCTTACCACACACACAGAAAGAAGGAAGCTGGGACCCGTGTCACCCTTCCTCCTGGCGGAGCGTGCTAGCGGGCGGACCCCTGCTCACTAGCTCTGTGTGTGTCTTTGCTGTGGGTGAGGGGATGGCAGAAAGGCCATGCTCTGTCACTCTTCCCTGTGGGCCTGTCTTTGTTCTGTCGGGTTAGAATTTGAGGGTTCCCTTCCTGGGTGACTGCCCCCCTCCTGCCAGCAGCCTCCAGGCCGAGGTCTGAATTCCACTCACCAAGCCTGTGCCGAGCGGGCCCGGGGAGGTCTCCTCTGGTGTTAGATTCGTGGTGGGGCCTCGAGAGCCACCCGGCTTCTCCGGGCTTCATTGTCCCCACCTGTAACACATGGAGGTTCCCCACCTCCGGGAGATGATGTCGGCTTGGCATAGGGGTGGCCCGTGGTCCAGCTGTGGCCTGAAGATGTGCAATTTGGCTCCTGGGTGTGTTTTATTTTTAAAAATAAACTGTTTATATATTGAAACAATGGGGAGATTCCATAGAAAGATTTGGATTTCTGGCAGCTCATGAAACATGGGAGGATCTGGAAAAACTGAGACCTCAGGATCTCAGGGGCCTGGAGGGGGGTAGCAGCTGTTGCCTTTGGTTTGGGGGTGACTCACCACGCCCCTCCACCCCAGTGCTTATCCCAGTTGTCCTCGTGGTTCCCAGATGTCTTGTTTGTGTTAGGACTGAGCTGTGGACCGGCTGTCCCCTCCCACAGCGGGCATACAGGGACCACCACTTCTGTTCCTCACCCACTTCTCCCAGACACCCCACGGACGGGCCCGCTAGCCCTTGCACTCCAGGGCTGGGGGCTGGAAGGGTTAGATACCTACTTTCCCTCCCTGCCTTCACCTGGGAGAGGAGCATCAGGGGTGGCCTCGCTGCCCCTGTCTTGTGGCCTTTGCTTCACACTGCAGGGGTCAGCAGTCACCTGTCACGGTGGACCCAGGCCCCCGGCTTCCCCTCCGCACACTGAGAAACAGGACCCTTTTGGCCAGAGGTCGGGGGTGGGGGGCTGGGAATACTGGGAGTACAGCCTGCAGGGGGCCTCTCATTCACTCATGTCTTCACGAAAAGTGACGAGGAAACAGACAAGCAAATAATACTTATAGTGGCTCTCTCTCAGGGTCGTGGTGCTGGTCAGGGAGGAGATAAAGTAGTGAAGAGTCTAGAACGACGCCTGGCATGCGGGCACACTGGGCAACGCTCGTTTAGTTGTTTTGTTCCTATTTGTTTATTACTTTATTTGCTTACCTGTTGGATCCTCGGGTCATAAAAATAATCCTTGTGCCTCCCACAGCTGGTAGGAAGATGTGTTTATCAACAGGTAGTCATTAACATCTGAAGGCAATCTTTGGTCTCCTGATATTTCCAAGAGAACCCTAAACACCCAAATTTTAAATTAAATCTCTCCTAGTTTTTTATTTTTGGCAACGAATTCAACTTTTCTTCATTGAAATGCCATGTAGGTCAAATGAGTCGCAGCTGAGACTGGACTCACTAGCCCGTTGTACAGATGGGAAAACTGAGGGACCGATTTGCCCGAATGGCCCTGGGGTCCGGCTGCCTCCAAACCTGCTTTTCCCCAGAGTCTGCCAGTTGGGGACGTGGGGCCAGGCCTGACTGGCCAGCTCCAGCCTTCTGCCTCCTTCAGAGCCTCTGCCCATTGGTTCTGGCTGTTTGGGGAGAGTGGGCGTGGCTGTCCTTGTCCTGAAAGGCCATGTTCAAAAGACGTTGGAGGGTGATGCAAGTGCCCAGATGCCCAGCTTTGGGACATTGGTGTCTATCTGATGGGCTGGTCACTCCACTGGGCCTGGCTCTGAGAGGATGTGAGCCTGGTTGGGGCCAGTGATATGCCTGGGCCAGGGGGTGGATGGATTGGGTGGCACTGGAGGGACCTCCCTGTGACACTGGGGCAGGCAACTGCGGAGCTGAGGAGCAAAGCAGGAATTAGAGGCCACTGTGTTTGACAGATGGACTCACCAAGTGGGCTTCTGGTCTGTTTCCTTTGGCCCGTTAAGAAAATCAAGTTTTGCCAAGCTTTATACATCAGGAGATTTCATATAGGTTTCTGTATCTCCGGCTTTTCATGGAACACTGCTCTTGTTCTTATCTCCTGCTCGCCCCTCACAGGCTGTGCTGTAACCACACTAGCCTCCTTGCTGCTCCCAAGCTCCCTATGTCAGCATCACCCTGCCTTAGGGCCTTTGCACTGGCCGTTGCTCCGAGGAATTACCCCCACCAAATCCATGTGCCCCCCTCACCCCCTTAATGCCTTTAGTTTTTATGTTGGTTTGCTTCTTTGTTTTTATTTACAGTTCATCTACCCAATCACTCTGTTTACAATTAGTCCTCTTTCTGTCCTTGCTTTGTTTGCGAGACACTCTTGCCATGTGCACCCGTTTTGCCCTAATTGTTTAGTCCCTGCCTTTCCCCTGGTAGAACAAAAGGCCCACAGAGTTGGGGACTTGGGTCTGTGTGTTCACTGTCCTATCCCCAGCTCTCAGAAGAGTGCCTGGCAGGTAGTGGGTGCTCAGTAAATATTTGTTGAATGAATGAGTGAATGAATGAATGATACGTTTGGCCACACGGTGCCATGATGCAGTGGCTGTTTCCTTTAGATGGGGCGTGCGTGGGGCTTCTGTTTGCCAGGGTCCCCTGATCAGGCTGTTGTTATTAAACCACATTAAAAAATAACAGCATGAATAGACTGCCTATTAACTCGAATGATGTAAACCCCCTCCCCCCTGTGCTGTGGGGCTTGGTGGTGCAGGCTGGCTCTGGGCAGCTGCCTGGAGCCCCGTGGTGGGCAGGCGGGCGGGCGTGGGGGCCCCGGTCACCCTCTTCCTCACGGCGTGTTTCTCTCACCCCCTAGAATGTGCGCATCGACCCCAGTAGCCTGTCCTTCAGCATGTGGAAGGAGATTCCTGTCCCTTTCTACCTGTCTGTCTACTTCTTTAACGTCATGAACTCCAGAGAGATCCTTCAGGGCAAGAAGCCACAGGTGCAGGAGCGCGGGCCCTACGTGTACCGGTAAGGACGGAGGTGCAGAGGTGGCCCTGGGAGGGCCGGGGTCTCAGAGCAGATGAGGCGGCAGGGGGGAGGGGGCTGCCGTGCTGAGCCCAGAAGCAGGCCATGTGCAGAGGGGGGGTGATGGTGCCAGAGAAGTTCTGTATGGAGCAGCGAGGCAGCTGTGATGTGGGGGAGCAGGAGGGGGTTTAGGGACACACACACACGCACACACACAGGGCTGGTGTCCAGGCAAGCAGGGACCTACTCCCCACCCCTTGCAGAGTCCCACAGCTCTTCCCTAGTCACTCATTCATTCAGCACATTGACTGAACACCTACTATGTGCTGATCACGGTGCTAGGCATGGGGAAACAGCAGGGAGTAACACAGACAAGGGTCCCTGCCTCTCTGAGCTGACTTCTGGGGAGGGAAGGAGACAGATAATTAATAAGGAAATGGATGTAGCCTATGATGACAGGTGGTGAGTATTAAGTGCTGTAAAAATCCAGCAGGGTCCGGGGACACACTGCACGTGGACACGTGCAGCGTGTCCTTGGTGTGTTGGTCTGGCCAAGGCCTCCTGGGAGGCCTTTTGTGCAAGGGAGTGAGCCATGGAGAAAGGTGTCCCTGGCAGCAGGAACAGCAAGTGCAAAGGCCCTGAGGCCCGACAGAGTGTGGTGTGTGTGAGGAGCAGCAGGGCGGCCAGCATGGTTGGCTGGAATGGGCTGGGGGAGAGGGTAGAAGATGAGTTCAGAGGTGGGCCCCATTGTGTGGGGTTTGGGGTCGAGGGCAGGACCCCGGAGGGCAGAGAGCAGAGCAAGAGAGGCACATGACGGAGGCTGCGGTAGCCATGGAGGCTGGAGGAGCAGTTTTTCCGTTGAGTTGGTATTTTCTGGTGCTTGTTGTGTGCCAGGCATTGGGACACAATGGTGAAGAGGCAGATGCTGTCTGTCTCCTGAGAACATGAGACCAAACCAAATGTAAGTGGACTTATAAACCAGTGCTGAGCAGGAGAGGGAAGGCTGCTCCTGGAGGAGGGCGCTGCGTGTGCAAAGGCCCTGAGGTAGGCAGGAGCGTGGAACATGTGAGGGCAGGGAGCGTGGTAGGTGGGCCTGGCGGGCCACGCCGACTGAGGTCAGTGTTGGGCCTGACAGCAGGGGGACCCACTGGAGCGTTTTAAAGAGGGAAACCACCTCGTCTGGGATGGAGGATGGGAGAGCTGGCCCGGAAGGGATGTGCCACTTGTACCTTTGCCCCCGACCCGGCCTTGTACCTGGCTATGGCTTCAGAGATGTGGCTTCCTGCCCTGAGCCTCGATTTGCCCATCTGCAAACTGTTGTGACAACACAACAGCTCCTTGGTCAGGTTATCAGAACACTTGCACGAGATAAGGATACATTCCAAGTAATTAAGATGGTGCCCCTGGGACGGGGTGACTGACTGTTGTAAGTGGGTTATGCCTTTTTGTTCTACTCTATCTCATGGAGTTTCCATGACAACTCCCTGCCCCCACATTATCATTCCCAGAGGTGAACTGGCTTCCCTGGATCATCGAGGTGGGAGGTGGAGGCTGGACAGGACCCTGGGCCTAGCTGCTTGCCCTGCCTGAGCCTTGGACTTTTCTGTGGCCGGCCAAGCTGGGGGTTCCCCCTTTGAGGGGTGGTCGACCCCACCCTGGCTTTCCTGGGGATAGCATGGGCAGAGAGTGTTCTGGCTGTTTGAAACGCACACTGGGGTGAACCTGGGGCAAAAACTTAACAACGTGCCTGAGGTTTGGGGGTCAGAAACTCAGAGTCAGCGACATGCATTCACTCACCCATTCATTCATTCATCCATTCATTCATTCAACAAATGTCTATTGAGCACCTACTGAGTGTCTGTGACTATTCTAGGCACAGGGGACCCAGAAGTGGACAAAATGGACAAAAACACTATTGGGGTGCCTGCAGTCAAGTTGGTAGGATTGGTTAAAGATGAATAAGTAAAGTCATATGTTAGTATCAAAGGGGGTACCTAGGGGTGTGGAGGGCATTTCTACTTCACGTCTACAGATGACCAGGGTGGGCTCTCTGAGGAGGCGACGTAAGCAGAGACCTGATGGAGGCAGCTTGGCCAAATGGAGGGGGCGTGTTGGGATTTGGGGTGCTCCGGGGGGTGGCCAGGCTTGGCTGTGGCGCTGTCAGGGTGGAGACGCGCACAGTCATCCAAGGCCCCCCCCTTGGAGGCTGGTGTCGGCTCCGCTTCTGGGCAGGCACTGCCACCCTGCGTGGCTGGCACCCGCTGACCCCCGGCCCCTCCCTGCAGGGAGTTCAGGCACAAGGGCAACATCACCTTCAACGACAACGACACGGTGTCCTTCCAAGAGTACCGCAGCTTCAAGTTCCAGCCTGACAAGTCCAACGGCTCCGAGGGCGACTACATCGTCATGCCCAACATCCTGGTGCTGGTGAGGCTGCCCCGCCCCCGCCGTGCCCCTCACTCCGCCCATGCTCCCCGTACCCACCTTCCACAGGGCGGTCCCTTGTGGGGGGCAGCCTGTGCTCACGGGGCCCAGGCACGTCCCCCGGTCTCTGGGGTAGGGGTACTGGCCAAAGTCACTGTCTTTTCCCTTTTCGGCATCCAAATCTGGAATTCCCAAAAGGAGGTACTAATGGGGGGCTGAGTCAGCACCCCCGGGCCATGTCATTGTCTGCGTCATTTGGGGGGGAGGGTGTGAGCATGGCCTCCGTTCTGTGCAGGTGAGAGTCATTGCAGTCGCTGGGTTGACTGGCTGCTTCCCGTGTGTATTGGGGTCTCCAAGGCCACCCCCAGGGTTGCTGATTGGCCAGGAGGATTCACAGGACTTAGCATAGCATCCTGCTCACGGCTGTGACTCGGTAGAGTGAGAGGACACAACACAGAACAAGACCCACAAAGGGACAGGCACAGCGGGCGGAGACCGGGCCCCAATTCCAGAGCCCTCTCCCCGGGGAGTTACATAGGACACACTTTACTCCCCAGCAACAAGTTGTGACAACATGTGTGGCATATATGACAACACATGTAAAGTGTCGTGTATAAGGGAAGCCCACCAGAGATTCAGCACCCAGGGTTTTTATTGGGGGCTGGTCACCTAGGCACCCTCTCCCTGGCCCCCAAATCCCAGAGTCCCCAAAGGCCAGCAGGTGGTCAGCATAAGCCATACTTTGTACACACAGTCCAGGTGCAGTGAGCCCCTCTTATCAGGGAGGCAGGGTACCCTCCCAAACTCATGTCCTCTGATGCCAGCCAGGGGCCAGCCTTTCTGGGAGGGCAGCCGCAGGCCTGCCATGGTGACTTCCTCCTGCTGACACTCCATGTTAGAACAGTGTTCTTAGGGCTTGCCACGTGTATTCTACCTTGTTCACTTGTCAGCAATCCTACGGGGTAGGTTCAGTTATTTTCGCCCTTTCTAGAGGAGGAAAACTGACAGGGAGGTCAACTGACTTACCCAAGGTCACTCAGCTATTAAGTAGCAGATGAGGGTTTTGAACTCACAAAGGGTGGGTCAGGAGTTTACCCCCTGTCACACTCAGCCCTCCATTGGATGGTCGAGGACTATCGGGCATTCGCTCTGGGCCTGGCGCTGGACCGGGCTGTGGATCAGGGGTGAACTCACTTGGTGAGTCCATTGGATGGACAAAACCGAAGAAGCGCAAGGAAACGCATGCAGCCCGAAGCCTTGAAGCCATGTCCCTCAGAGTTAGACACGCGCCCTTTGGCCGTGAAGTCACTGTTCCCACATATCAGATCGACAAACCCTCCTAGCTCTTGGACTACACAAAAACCGGCAGTGGGCTCGTGCTGGGGCTGGCCCACGCACGGGCCGCAGTCTGCTGACCGCAGCCTGTAGATTATTTCTGGAAGAATAGCCAAGAACCCAGAGCAGCGGGTTGCTTTGGGGGAGGAGAATGGGAAGGGGAAGATCAAGGATTGGAGATCGTCTTCTGTTTTATTTTATATCTTTTGTGAATTTTAAGAACTGTGTTTATTACCTTTAAAAAATTATTACTGTTAAGGAGACCCTGGTGAGTTCCCATGGAACCAACCCTCTGTAGCCCACGTTTTAGGAAATGCTGGCCGTGTTCGCTTTCCTACAGGCAGAGATCGCTTTTGGATGAGGTACCTTTAAAAAAATAAACCAAGTGCCAGACAGTATCTCCAGGGGAAAGCAAAAATTAGAAAATAATTGTGTTTTAAGCACCTAGATACTGGGTAAAGCAGACATTTGGGGCTCTCCGTGTTTGGGAGAGAGATGATAAGGGGATGGAGTAGTCTCCATTAAGTGTCTTTTGGTTACATGGTGACAGTGAAAGGTGCTCCAAACTTGCATAAGCAAAATTGATTGGGGATTGATGGGCTCATGTTGCTGGAGGGGCAGGGGTGGGGCTAGTTTCAGGTGTCGCTTCATACAGGGTGCAGACCGCCTTGCTCAGAGCTGCGTTCCTTTTATGCTCCGGCAGATCTGCGCCCCTTGGGGCTACAGCCCTGCACACCCCAGGTTCAAGGCCAGTGGTGAGACCTCCCCTCTCTCCCCCACAGCCCCAGTGGACCATCAGCGTGTGGCTTGTTAGCTCTGATTGGGCCACATACACATTTCCAAACCAATCACTGTGGCTGGAAAGGAGGAAGGTGTCTGATTGGCCAGGCCTGAACCATGGGGCTGGGGGTAGACTTAACGTAGTCTGAATCCAAGAGTCACGTGGTCCTGTTACCAGAAGATCAGGGAATCGTTCCGGATGCCCCAGACACCCCATGTGTCCACTGCAGGGGCCCTCCTCGACTCGGACATTTCCCTAGATGGGTTCTTTGCCTTGCGGCCTAGCTTCATGTCCAGGGGGGAATGGAGTAGCTACATCCAGCCTCTAACCCATGCTGTCCCCTTGTTCTTCAGGGTGCAGCAGTGATGATGGAGAATAAACCCATGCCCTTGAAGGTGTTTATGACCTTGGCATTCAGCACCCTTGGCGAACGTGCCTTCATGAACCGCACGGTGGGCGAGATCATGTGGGGCTATGAGGACCCCCTCGTGCACATCATCAATAAGTACCTCCCAAACATGTTCCCCGTAAAGGGCAAGTTCGGGCTATTTGCCGGGGTAAGTGTGGCCCACTGAGAAGTTCACGGCATGTGTCTTGTTCTTCACGGACACATCCTGGAAACCCGTTGCCCGCTTGCTTTGGCGTTGGCGGGGGGCACTGGGGACTGTGGGCGTACATGGCAGAAACCCTAACTCACACTGGGTTACGTAAAATAGAGAATCTATTGGCTCATTTAACCGCAAACGCTAAGGATGGATTCAGGTGCAGCTTGATCCAGGCTCAAATGACGTGACTGGGGTTGAACTTAGACAACAGCAGAGGGGGGTAGGCTGCTGGGGAGGCCGATCACAAACGTCGGCGATAGCACTGCTCCGAGCTGCCTGATTTTTCTTAATCTTGACCCCTGGTAACCTGGTAGGTTTACCATCCTTAGGGCATGGTTTCCATACTCAAGACTACCACATGGTCCAAGATAGCTGCTGGAGCACCAGCTCTCACATCCACATTCCAGGCAGCACAGCAGGAAGGAAGAAGTGATGGGGGTTGGGAGACAGGTAGGGAAGTTGAGGCCAAAACAGCACGTCCCAGCTGTCTCCTCCTTCAGGACGGAGAAACCAATTCTACTTACTCCTCAGTGGCCTCATCTTAGTCATGCAGCCACACCTAGCTGTAAGGGGAGCTGGGAAATGTAGTCTTTTCGCTGGTGAGTGGATGCCCTGAGTGAGGTTTGGGTTTTGTTGTGAAGGAGAGAAAGGAGAATGGACTTTGGGTAATAACTAGCAGTTCTTGATACACTTAGTCTATTATAATTATTATTTAAGTGTCCCTTTGGGTGACCATTTATTCATTATCACAATAATAATAAAAATAAGGACTAGCAGTTTGAGTTCTTACTATGTCCCAGGCACTGAGCTTAGCAGTTTTCACACAGTGACTATTTTAATAGTCCCAACGCCTCTTTGTAGTGGCTCCTATTAGCCTTTCTTCACAATGGCTGAAGTATGGGCTCAGGAGGCTCTGAATGGACAGGTGACATGACACACAGGTATTAGGAGGCCAGAGTGGGGCTTGGAACTGGGCTGTGCTCTGAAGCCTGTTCGCTGAACCAGCTGGTGATCGATTTAGCTATTCGGCCAGGAAACAACCCTTATTGCATTCCTAACGCGTGCTACACCTTGTATTATATGGCCTCAGAGGTAAAGCAGTGCTTCTATTGGGTTGTTGGGAAAGTCATGATGTGTTTTTTTCTATGTTTTTCATTGCAAAAATGCGTCATGACTTTCCCGACAATCTAATAGATTTACTCAGCAGTCACCACTTCTCTGTACGCTTTGAGTGTCTTTGCTCTGAGTTACAGACCTAATTCTAGGGAATACCCTCAGAGTGCCACAGCCTGGGGCTTACTATCCAGAAGGTGCTCGACGCGCATTGGGTTGGTCCCGTATCCGTCAGGATAGCAAGCAGCCCAGAATCTCAGGGGCTTCACACAGCGAAGGTTTGTTTCTTGCTCCGGTCCAGTGTGGGTAATAACCAGGGAGCCCTCGGCTCCTTGTGGTCACTCAGGGACCCAGCCGAGGGAGGCTCTAGCCGGACACACACACTCGCGTGGTCACGACAGCTGTGTGTGGCAGGAAGCACGGTGAAATGTGCGTGCACCGACCGGCTCTTAAAACTTCCACTGGAAGTGACATGCCGCTTCTGCTGCTTTTTCATTGACCGAAGAGGCCACATGGCCATGGTGGATTTTAAGTGTGTAATTCGGGGGGGTGGAGGGGGAACCCTACCAGTCACTGGGAGGAGAAAACCAGACTCTTCTAGAGTCAGGGGGGAAAGGTGGACACTTCCTAGGAGGGACGCTGTCGTCAGGAGCGTGCCCCCGCTAGGAAGCCCCCAAGCCTTCCTCCTTTTGGTCCCCAGGCGCTAGGGATGCAGGAACCGTCTGTAACTAAGCGGGCGGGCTTGGGGGTTGGCCCCTGGTTCCAGCCCCCACCCCGTCCTGAGGCTTAAAGATGCTATTCTCTGCCGTGTCCGCAGCTCAACAACTCCGATTCCGGGGTCTTTACTGTGTTCACGGGGATCAAAAACTTCAGCCGGATCCACCTCGTGGACAAGTGGAACGGGCTCAGCAAGGTGAGAGCAGGACCTTCTTCCTCGTAAAGCTCGGAGGGCGGTCCCACCTGTGAGGGACAGCGCATTAAGGGTCGGGATTTTACCTGTCTGTGGGTAAGGCTCAGCGAGCTCTTGGTTCTGGATGGATGGGTGGGTGTGGAACAGAAACCCGACTTATTTAGCTCCTACTGTATACTAAGATCTGAGTTCTTTCTTTCTTGTGGTTCTTTTTTTTTGTTTGTTTTAATTAGCCTTTTTTTTTTTCAATTGGGGAGCTGTGTTTTTCCAGGACGCATCAGCTCCAAGTCAAGTAGTTGTTTTAATCTAGTTGTGGAGGGCACAGCTCAATGGCCCATGTGGGAATCGAACTGGCAACCTTGGTGTTATGAGCACTGCGCTCTCACCACCTGAGCTAACCGGCCATCCCTTTCCTGTGGTTCTTAAGCCACAAAAACATTTCAAAACTGTTATACTGATGATATAACCATCCAGTGCATCAAAATATGGTGTTGAGTAAGAAGAAAACATTACATTAGAAACACAGGAAGGCATTCACATTAAAAACCAACAACAATGAAACAATGGAGACAGATCTAAAGTGCACTTTATCCCCTCTTCACATGCCAGCTGCCCCACACCCCGAACTACAGAGAAAACCCACAGCTCTTAATATCGAGTATATTCTTCCTGTCCGTTTTACGCATTTGCACGCCTGAAAGTACACAGACAAACACAGTAGGCTCTTTCTTCTGTGAACAGAGTGAAATTAGACCGTGTGCATTATTTTCCACCTTGCTTTTTTCACTGGAGTGGCCTTTCCTCATTATGCAGGAAAATGATTTTGCGCTGGTGCTGTTCACATCTGCCAAACGCTCGCCCTGGTCACTGGGGCACAGACCTGCGGGGCTGGGGACAGAGGCTGCCCCCGCATCGGGGCCCAGAGCAGCCCGAGCACCATTTGTAACCAGTAGGAACCATTCTTAACGGAGACAATTAAAATTCTCTTCGGCTTGTTCTTTCAGTATAAGAAATACATGTGATTACGAACGTTCTGATAGCACAGAGAGGCAGAAAGGGAGAAGTCTGTTTTTTCCTGTCCGGGTCTCACTTCCCAAAGACAGCTACAGCTTTGAGATTCCTCGGTGGTCACCGTTATGGTTTTAGCTGGGTCTAGGAAGTGTCTGGTGACTTCCTCTCTGAGACATGAGGATGTCAGCGTCCCACCTCCCACCCCACCCACTCATTGAGTTCCTTGCAGATGTGGGTGATAGGCCCATTTTGCAGATGAAGTAACTGAGTCCCCAGCACAGCTGCGCATTTGACGATCCATAGTTAGGGAGCAGGGAGGTGCAGTGAGCACTCTCTCTGGCTGTCTACACAGCCTCCCCCCCCCCCCCCCCCCCCGGTGCCAGGCTGTCTCTCTGAGGGAACTGTCTCCTGTCCACAAACAGTGTTGGGAATTGAGTGGTGACATCTACCCCAGGACACACGGCCTGTGAAGTCGCAGCTCCAGTCAGGTGTGCGGTGCCCGAGAGCATTCCCTGTCCTGAGCGGCTTTGTCTCAATGTCCCCCACAGGTCAACTTCTGGCATTCAGATCAGTGCAACATGATTAACGGAACTTCTGGGCAGATGTGGCCGCCATTTATGACTCCCGAGTCCTCGCTGGAATTCTACAGCCCTGAGGCCTGCCGGTAATTGCTCTGACGGGGGGCACTCTGGCCTGGGCTTGGAGGTCAGCCTCATGGATGCTCATGGCCCAGATAGGTGGCTTTTGGCTGCAACCCGGAGAGCCAAACTCCAGCTGCTGATGCTTTTGCAAGGCCCAGGGAGAGGCCGCTGGCAGTTGTTGAGCATTGGTAGCAGTGGTGGTGGGCAGGAAGTGCTCAAGGTCTCAGGGGGCTGTGAAGTAAGACAAGCGATGGGCAGCCAGTGGCGTCTGTCTGTCTGGCTGCCCTGTTTTCCTTCCGGATGCTAAGACACACGGACGCCTCTCCCGTGCCCCTTCAATCTTTGGGGTTGCAGCCTTGGAGGTCTGCCTGGGGCTGAACAATCCCAGTGGCCCCAGAGGAGGGCAAGACCAGACAGGATCCTGGAGCCCCTTCTGGGCACTGCCCTGTCCCCTGCACCGTGCAGGCCACTCCTTCACTTGGGGACTCACTGATGTGAACTTTGAGTCCTCTGCCTTCCCAGCAAACCTTTACGGAGCCCAGGGACATGGCCGTGACGAGATGGGCTAAGTCCCTGTTCCCCAGGAGCTTCTGACTTGGCAGGGGGACTTGGGCAGACGTACCTGCAGGGGGGTGTCAGAGGGCGGAAGAGCTATTGCTCTGCGTGTGTTCACTTATTAAAATCAGACATTGCAACCTAGAGAAAAATGGTGAGAAATGTGTAAATAGCTCCCCGTACTCCTGTCCCTCAATTTTAGCAGTTGTTTTTCCCTCTGCCCCATCTAGTCTGTCATTACCCTCCCTTCTCTGTCGTGGTGGGTTTTTCCTCGGCCGTTTAAGAGTCAGTTGGACGCCCACAAGCTTCAGCCGGTGTTTTCTAAAAACAAGGACGTTTTCTTCCATGACCACGTTTCCGTCCGAGTGAGGAAATTCAGCATCGACAGAGTCCCACCATGTAGGCCGGTGGTGTCCAGTAAAAACATAGCACAAGTCCCACTCGCAATTTCAAATTCTCTAGTGGCCGCGTTAAAAAAAACAAAGGGACGAGAAATAAGCATGATTAATGTTAATGATATGTTTTGTTTGACCCAGTATACCCCAAATATTATCATTTTCGTGTGTAAACGATGCAAACAAAACATTACCGGAGCAATGTTTTACATTTTTTTGTGGTACCAAGCCGTAGAAACCTGGATGTTTTACATTTTTGTGATACCAAGCCGTAGGAACCTGGAATGCACTTTGCACTGACGGTGTGCATCCATGTGTGGCCTCGCGCCACGTCAGGGGCTGTAGAGCCACTGTGATGAGTGGCTCCGGGCACAGTGGGCAGCGTAGTTCATGTCCACGGTCCACGTGCAGATTCGCATGTGCCCTTGAGAACTACAGAAGAGTGAACGGACGGAGAGCAATGGGAATGGGGTGTGGGGCGTGTTGGTGCCCCCTGAGGAGGGGACAGCTGAACCTGAGTGAAAAACTGAAGTCTGATGTGTAAGGATTCCTGGGCAGAACATTCCGTGCGGAGGGAGTGGCAGGTATAAAGGCCCAGGAGCAGGAGGAGCATATCGGAGGAATAGCAGGGGGCCGAGGGCTGCAGTCAAGGGCAGGCAGGGAATGGACCTCACAGGAGCTTGTGGGCCGCGGTGAGGACATTCGATCTTATTACAGATTAGCCTGGAAGCCATTGCAGTGTTAAGTGGGGATGTGGGGGACGTGTTATAGTGTCTTCTTGCTTTAAAGCCCCATGACGGCAGCTGGGACCCGGGAGGGGTCAGTGCAGGCGGGGGGAAGTGGGCTGCGCTCAGCAGGACCTGATTGCAGCCACCATGTCCTGTGTCATCGTCCACCTTGTCTGTCCCCCGCAGGTCCATGAAGCTTATATACCAGGAAGCAGGCACGTTTCAAGGCATCCCCACCTTTCGCTTCAAGGCTCCCGACACGTTGTTTGCCAGCGGGTCCGTATACCCGCCCAACGAGGGCTTCTGCCCGTGCCTGAAGTCCGGAATTCAGAACGTCAGCACCTGCAGGTTTAGTGCGTGTCATCCCTGTGGGAGGGCGGGAGGGTCGGGCTTGATTATGGGCTTATCTGCCCCATGCCTCATCTCTGGCCTCTGCACTCTCGATAATCCCATTAGGCCGGAGATAACGAGGCAGCAGCAAGATAATGTGAAGAAAAAACAAAAAAACGTGCTGTGTGCATAAGTTGCTGCCGTAATGAATTCCCTTCAACTTAGTGGCATAGCACGAAAATGATGACCGTCAACAACTCTGTGGTTCAGAATTCCGGCATCACGTCTTTCTGTTCCTCCTCCTGTGGCCGCCTCTCCCTGACTCTCTTCCACTTCCCCCTTCCAGCGTAAGCACCCCGCAGAGTGTGTTAGGCTCACCCGGGTAGCCTCGACCACGCTCCCCGCTTTAGGGTCAGCTGACGGGCACCCTAGTTCCCCTCGGCCGCGTAACCTCCCATAGTCACGGCCTCTGGGGATTAGGATGTGGAGGGTGGTGTGATTCTGCTGCTCACACCGTGACTTGTCGCTTGAGAAGGAGGCTTTGTGGGAAGGGCCCTGCCCCCATCTGGGAGGAAAGGAAGCCAGCAGCAGCCCTCTCGTCCTGTGAGACCCCCTTTGGCGGCATGCGATTGCCGGGTTGGGTGTGACCCTTGCGCTGGCACCATATTTTCTGGCATTGGCAGTGTTTTTTCAGTGCCAGTTCCCAAAACGCCCCCGCCTCAGCTGCTCAATTTGGGCACTTGGATGTCAGCTCCGTTCCCTTCTCCTCACCCTCATCCAGTGTGTCATCAAGCTAAGCCTGCTCTGCCTCCAAATTAAACCACCAGTCCTTCCCCTTCCTCCCCACACCCACCCCCATGGTCCAGGCCACCAGCACCTCCTGCCACTGGTCCACACCTCCCCAGCGGGCCCTCCTGTCACATTGTTGCTGCCCTACATACGATTCCTTCCCCAGACTGTCCAGCGCAGTCACCACTGGCCCCGTGTGGCTGTTTGCATTGAAATTGGCTTGAATGAAATCAAATGAAAAAGGCCGTTCCTTAGTCACACTGGCCCCATTTCAAACGATCACCAGCCATGCGTGCCTAATGACTACTGTAGGGGATGGACAGCACAGAAAGAGAACACGTCTGCCATCGTAGGGAGCTCTGCTGGGCCCTGTCTCAGAGAGCAGCCCCAAGGACCTTTTAGAAATGTGGGTGGCTGCCCAGTTTTTTTTGTTTTGTTTTTTTAAAGATTTTAATTGAGGAATTGGGGGCGGGAAACAGACAAGTTGCTGTCTTTTTGTTCTTCACTCTAGTTGTGAGGATGTTGTTTCACTGGCCTATGTTGGTATTATCATTGCTCTGTTCCCGGGTGAGGCAGGTCAGTCGCTGGCCATTGGATGGCCGCTCACGGCGGCTCACAGCAGCTCACACTGGCTGCGGCCACTCACGGTAGCTCACGGCAGCCCACTGCAGCCTACGCCATCGCCGGCGACTCACAGCAGCCCAGCTCCGGGTCGAGCTGTTGTTCACCATCTTAGCTGTAGAGGGTGCAGCGTCACTGGCCCTCATGTGGGATCTGAACCAGGGCCCTGCTGCTCAGAGCTGGCATCCCAAGCCAGCTCCTAACCAACGTGCCACTTGGCTGGCCCATGCCCAGTTCTGCTTCAAACGCTGACCCCTCCCTGTGCACACACAGCGAAGCCCTTGCTGTGGCCTTGGTGCCCTGTAGCTGCCGGCCTCTGCCGGCCTCTTGAACGTCATCTCTCCCCGTACTTCCCCCACCAGCTAGTCCTCAGACCTTCACTGCCTCATCTTAGCACATTGGCCAAAAAAAACTTCAAAAGTGTGAGGGAGTTTAAAAATATTTATGCACGTAGTGTCTTTTTTTATTATTACATTAAAATAAACATATATACAAAGAGGTGGCCCAAATGACACATGCGGTTTTAAATTCCAGAAAGTGAACACACCCATGTTGTCAGCACCCTGAATAAGAAACAGAATAGGATCAGCCCCAGATGTCCCCGTGTCCCCTTCCTTGCCACTGGCCTGACTTCCGGCGCCGCACAGCATTGCCTGCCTTTGGTCTTTCTGCAAACGGAATCAGAAAGTGTGTGTTCCATTCTTCTGGTTTTCTGGCCTCTTTCGCCCCTTAACCCATCGGTGAGCCCCACCCTCACTGTATTGGCTACCCTCTTCTTGGCTGTCTGATGTTCCTTCCTGGGAACACACCTCAGTTTCCTTACCCCTCCTACTGCTCGTGGGCATCTGAGTTTCTGGGTGTTTGAACATTATCCTGGTGCTGCTAGGCACATTCTCGTACACGTCCTATGGCGTACCTGCATTTCTGTGGCATTTAACCTGAAGATAAGAAATGCCCGCATATTTCCTTTTCCGGGCCTTGAGAATCTCGTGGACCCAAAGGACTCTCTCTCCTCCAACCTCCGTGTTGTATGACGGCCTCAGACTTGCCCAGTAGAAACCCTTAATTATGACCCGTGATAATCCTGGGCAATTAGGTCTGGTCAGATGTGCCATAAAGCTATAAATTAATTAGCACTAATTACCTGGGCGGGTTCCTCTCAGTCTGTTTGGAAATAAACTAGAAAGAAAACACGCGCATGCATGCGTGCTATTAAAAAACCCAGTGGGCTTAAGGTCGGGAGCTGGGCAGGTGATCACAGATTGGCCCAGCCCACTTGGGTTTCTCCCTGTCCTCGGAGACGTGGCCAAGGGGCTTGTTTGAGATTTGCCACCGTCAAGGGCCTGGCTTGGTGACTGCCTCCCATACCGAGGGCCTCAGAGTTCCGCCTCCTCTGAAAATGGGGTCCTTGTGTTTGCTCTGATGGTCTCCTTTCACGGTGGACATGGGAGCATGGGAAGCGGAGTTTTCCAAATTGTGGAGCATTGTCCCTTGGGGCACTCAAGAGGACTTCAGAGGGGCAAGCAGGCAGCTTTGAACAACCTTGACTTCACAAGGCGAAAGAGGGCTTCTGTTTTCTGTTCTCTTTCTGTCCTTCTGTCTGCCTCCAGGAGACAGTCTCTGTGGGTGCTAAGAGGGTTTGGACACCTTTCCACCTCTCACCTATCTCTCTTTTTAACAGAGAAAGAGCGGGTCTCAGGGTCAAAGCCTTGTGTCGGTAACAGTGTCCTGTTAGAATGCATAACGTTCATTGGCTTCCATTGCATTTATTCCTGTATTTTTTAATTGTGGCAAGTCTTTGCCAGTTATGACTCAGATATAAAGCCTCCCCACCCCACCCCCCGCCCCTTAAAATATAGCTATTTAAGTAAAGCCGTGGCAGTTGGTTCAAAGAAGCACATTGTATAACGGTGTGGGAAGGTAATCGGATGTGGCAAAATGCAAGAGGCACTAGGATGAATGAATTCATGCTGAGAAACTTTAAGGCCATGAATGGAGAAGGACTCTGGGAAGCATGAAGTCAGACAACGATCAATTGCCAGCTTTTATTTCAAACTGGTGCTTGGCTTTGCGAAGGAAAGCAGAAAGAACGCAGACACTTGAGGTTGCCAGGCACGCACGAACACCTGTCTGGCAGCCGATGAGCTGTTGGTTTTCGGGAAGGAGACCTTGTGAATTTCATCTGTTTTCTCATTCTTTTTTCTTACTGAGGTGACGTTCACGTAACAGAACATTAACCCAGCGTACAGTTCAGTGACCCATTCACGATGTTGTGCGGCCACTGCCTCTGTCTAGTCCCAGCACATTGTCACCTCCCGGAAAGGAGACCTCAGGCCCATTAGCAGTCACTCCCCTCCCCCCCTCCCCCCTTGCCACCAACAGTCTGCGATCTAGCTGTGATTTGCCTCTTCTGGGTCCTGGTGAGATTTTTGAGAGGCTGATTCTCTTTCCTCATTAACTCATTGTCCACCAGGCCTGTTGTACGTTGTCCTCAGCACTCTAGAATGAGCTGGCGTTTGCGTTGCTTGGTCAGTTAATGGAGAGGTTTGACCTCACGTTTCTGGGTGTGAATTTCTCACTCAGAGCTGGGGCTCCCATCAGTCCCTGTTCATGTTCACGCGTGCTGGCATCCACCCTGCAGACCGGCTGCTGGGAGACAAGCAAAGCAGGTGTGCCTTCTCTTCTCCTGTGGACGTTAGGGAGACCTGCCCACAGGTGTACACACCTGAGCCTCTCTGATGGTCGCCGTGCTGCCTGCAGAGGACAGCCCAGGCCGCTTGGCTTGACGATCAAGAAGCCCCTCCACCCGCCCAAGTTCAAATCTGGCCTCGACTTACCTGTCTGTCCTCAGCTCCCATGATTCCCCTCCACACACACGCTGCCTGCTCCCTTTGCCCTTCCCCACCTCCTGCATCTGTTCCGCCATCCCTTCCACCTGGGATGCCGGGCCCTGACCTCGGCCTGGTGTCTGGTAGCCATCTTCCTTTCCTTCCTCCGACCTGTCCCGCCAGAATCGGCAGCTCCAGCGTTACCGTTCCTCTGGTACAGAGCTGGTCCCTCGCTGGCTGCCCGTGCCGGTGCCTCTTGGGTGCTTGGTAAACATTTTCAGACTGAAACGAAGGAGGGCTCTCTGTCTAGTTATTGTTGTTTGCATCTTGTCATCTGCACGGGGTGCTCGGCAGGCAGTGGCTGCGTTTCGTCGTCTGTGCATCCCTGCGCCTGGCTCGGGGCCTGGCATGAAGCCTCTGGACGTGCCAAGGCGGTCTCCTTGCCTGACGGGGGCCCCCTCTCTGCCCTCTGCCTTCTAGGTGCACCCTTGTTTCTCTCCCATCCTCACTTCTACAACGCCGACCCCACCCTGGCAGCGGCAGTGCTTGGCCTCCACCCCAACGAAACAGAACATTCCTTGTTCCTGGACATCCACCCGGTAAGCCCCTGCTTGTCAGACCGTAGGGATTGCTGCACGCTTGACCCCCTCTGCTCCCCCAGGCACCGAGCTGTTGTGGGGAGTGATGGGAAGCCTGGCTTTCTTAGGCATTGATAGCTTCTAGACTCTCAAGCCACCGAAGGTCCCTACTTTGTCCTTTGACTCCATAGTTCAAGGACTTTTTTAATCTCTTTATAAGGGAATTATCTCTATAAAAGGACCATGAGACAGTAAATTAATTAGGAATTATCAGCCTGCAGATTAGCCAGAGGCAGCCTCTGGCTGTGCCAACATATAATACCATAAAGATCTTTTGGTATCAACGAATATCTCGCAGATAAATTGGGTTCTGGGAATTTGTCCCGTGTGACAGTCTGTGTGACCATCAGGGACCAGGAGGGTATCAGACCCGCACAGTGGCCCTCCCAGGGGTGTGTCCTTTGCTGGTTGCCTCTTCTCTGTAAAATGTGCCCATGTGGTGTTTACCATTGATTCAAAAATTCTGTGGGGGTCTGTCTCCTGAGTGGACACCCGTCTCCCCCAACAGGCTTTTTCGAAGCTCTTCTGTCTGCTCGATGCTGTTTTTCTTTGT